TTTTTTTTTTTTTTGAGGAAGATAAATAATTTTTTCCTACTTTAATCATATAATTATCTCTTAACTTTAATTATTCGTTTTCTAATGGAAGTAGATATTTATTCTAAGTTATTTTTTAAGTATAAAATAAGTAAAGATAAAAATTGTTTTCAAATATTTCATTTGAAGATAAAACAAAAAAATCTATTATTCTAGTATAGAGGGAGTAATATTTTAAGTAATAAAACTTATTGATTTTTTATTTTCACAAAAAATTGTATAATTTCCTTTTAGGATTTAGAATTGTTAAGATTACAAATAAAATTGAATATTATGGTAATATTGAAATTATATGGAATAAAATTAGAGCAGAGTAAAATAATTGAAAAAAGAAAGAAAGTATAAATCCATAAAAGGAACATACATGAATTCAATAAAAGGAAAAAAACCTTGGATATAGTCATATAGAAAAAAGCAATAGGAACATAAATTAGTATAAAAGAAAAATAAACTCGTATAAAGTGTAATTAGCTTGTAAAAAGGGGAAAAATTTTGTTTGCTTGTAGAAAGTCGTAGGGTAAAGAGATACGATGTTGTCGTATTTTTAAACTATGTCAATGGCTTCTGGAGATAATAAAATCAGAGGTTTATAGTCTTATTACAAGTTAATTACTTTGATGCTTACTCTTTCAATTTCTATAGCAATAATAAAAAAAGTATTTTCTATCATGAAAATTGTGAAAATGAGACTTTGTAGCAAAATGGAGGATGAATCTCTTTCAAACTCTTTGATTGTTTATATTAGAAAGGAAATAGTTCAGTTATTTAGTATAGACAATATTATAAATAGATTTTGTGACATGAAAATTTGTCAAGTATTATTTTAATATATGATATAAAAGTAAGTTTTCAAAATTACAATACATTATTTTAAGACTTAAAAAGCTGGCCCCCCTAACTAAAATACCTTCGTAAATTGTAAAAATACAATTAGTTGTAATCAGTAAAGCCAATGGATAAGTGGTAAAATCAAATATAAATTATCTAAATATAAATAAAGATCAATCCAACGTAAATAATTGAGTTGAAATTTCAATGTATTGATATATTAAGTGTATTAAATTTAAAATAAAATTAATTTATTTTTTTTTTTGTTTTTTCACAGGGATGGGGACCCTCATGAAGCAGGAAAATTCCCCATATAAATTCATGGGAAAATACATCCCCATCCCCACCTTGCGAGAAGGGATGTTCCTCTCCTCTCTGCTCTCATAGCAGGGATTACGAGAAATTGCCACCCTTATACACACCTTTAAATCTATGATCTTCCAGGAAACAAAGGAACATGATTAATTAATTGGTTAGTTATCCGTTGAAACTCTACCAGCAAAGTCAAGATGGTCTATTACAAGTTAAACAGAACATTTTCACTGAATCTTCAGAAAATGGTTTGGTCCTCTAAGAGAGAAAACTACGAATAGTAGTATAAGACAGCACACTGCCTTGAGCTGAATTGTTGATGTTTGCAAGAGGCAACTTTTTACTTGGGCTAAAAAAGGGAGAAAATTTCTAACCTGCACCGGTCTTAAAAATATATAATAAATGTGTTTTTATTATTTTTTAATTAATTTATATTAAAAAGTTAAAATATAATTTGAATTTTATTAATTATTTAATTAAAAATATACACGAAGCATTGTTTGTAAAAATAAGGTAAACTTTTTTATTTTCTATAAAAATTAGGCAAAACCCCTAAAAGTACCCCTTAAATAAGAAGTAAAAATAGATTTACCTTTAAAATATATAAAGATAAATCGTTTCTCCATATTATAAATCAAGACAAATCACCTATTTTTTAAAATGTAATGTTAAAATTTTATTTGTTACGTAGGTATTTTTTAACAAAAAGTTGACGTCACAAGTTAAAAAATGAGTAATTTATCTAAATTTGTAATTTAAAGAGTAATTTATCATTGTATCTTTTTAGGGTGGATCTATAGCTATTCCCTGTTGAGGGGTGGATTTAGGTGTTATGCCTAAAAATTAAATTTTAAAATATACAATTAATACACTTTTAATTTTAAAAAGCACAAATGAGACAAATTAAAAAATAATAGGTCTTTTTAACATGAGAAAATAGATCGAGATTGTATTAATTACACTTTTTAAATTAATTTATATTAAAAAATTAAAATATAACTTTAATTATATTAAAGTTTTATTAATTGTACAGTTAAAAACTTTCATGTGACATTAGTAATTAAAATATGGCCAAGAAATGGGTTTAAATTCCTCACATCAGTGTCAAAAAAATAGTGCAAGGCATCATAAAAGGAAATGGAAAAGGTCTCAAGTCTAAGGTCTGAACGTGTTAGTCAGGTTAGAAAAACAACGAAACGTCTTTCTTGCGGCATGGTTACCGCAACAGCTTGATCCCTACTTCCCTCCAATTGGCCATGTTAAAAAAAGGAAGAAGAAGCACAAGGTGTGATAGGAACATGCTTTAATTGCTAAGACTCATTGTGCATGCATCAGTCATTGGATAAACTAATCACCTATACATTACAAAGAAGTGGTCCTTGCCAGGGCTTTGAGCTAATGAAGAATATGGAATCTGTGTGAATTGATATGCACTCACTTGGAGGAAGGTCATGT